TCCCCTCTTTCTGCCCCCCTTTCCTGTCTATCTTCAGCTGTCACTATAATAAAGGCACTAAAAGCCCCCAAAAAATATGGCTCTTCTGATAGTAAAGTTGCTGACCTCTGCTCTCATGGATCGGCATGTCTATTGAACGCTTTGGCTTGAGACTGGGCTGAAATAACTGTTACAGATACAGCTTACCTCATGTACACATATACAGTGTATACGTTTTGCTATTCAAATTCACCTGATATTCAAATTCAAATGAATAATGGTCTACTTATGTGTAATCTAGAGACGATGCTATAAATGTTCAAAAAGTCAGTATCTGTATACAGGTCTGTGTTGTTGCCCAGTCAACCCAACCAGCAGCACTGTGTCTTATCAGACTCCTTAATCAGGAGCTGCCGAGGTTATTACACCACATATATCACTGCTGAGTCTGTTGAGCTGCCTTTGAGCAAAGAACTGAGAGCACAAACTCCTCAACATCCAGCTTACACAAGTTAATACATGGACCTGTATGATGTTGCAGTTCTAGAAAAGAGCACGGTGTGCAGTTAACTTTTTCCAGCATAAATAAGAGTTTAAATTAAATTTGCATTTTAACAAACCAAACAGGCTTTAAAAGACGGAACTTGTCCTCCCAGCACCAGCAGAGTTCTCACCCTGTCAGCTAAAGCAAATTAACACCATTTCTCAAAAAAGTGCACCGTCACATCTGAGATCCGTGAGACCAATCAGGAAAGCAATGGGGGCAGAGAGGAGGGTGTGTAGAGGTGCAGTAATTCAAAACCCACCGCAATTAAGGTTGGTTAAATCTCCGGCAAGGTGTGGCAGCGCTCCTAACTGAACGGCAGGTACAGCAATCTTGATTATCTAACAGGATGATGTGGGAGCGGTATTGTTTTATGGCTTCCATTAACGGCTGACTGTTACCGCTGATCAGAGTCGAATGGATCTCCAGAGCCAGCCCACCCTCCGGCTGTGAGAATATGACTGCCAGCAGGAAAAATACGACCGCGTGCCGGGTCTCAGAGTGGAATGACCCAGTTGGGGGAGGGAACCGCCTCAACAGCAATTATTTTTCATGCCACAACGCTTGACTTCCTTGTAGTTTCTTACCAAAGTTTGAAACACAGTAAACATGTCGTGAAGTGTTTGGTTTCAAACTAAGATTTCATTTTCACCCCACCCCCAAAACAGACACATTTACCCTTCCAAAAATGATAGATAGCACAGAATTTCAACTGATTATGGACCAATACCCAAGCGAGTGGGTGAGTGAGGACACATGTCAGTGTTGCTGTTAGCAGATTTTCTGAAGTGTTGACAGCTTCATATGAGATCTTGTTCCAAATCGAGCTCTCACAACTTCAAGAACGTGACTCCTACTCTTAGGAAATGGAAAAGCGCTTGACATTTAAACAAACTTTTAAAAGAACATTAAGTCCCTGGTTAAAAAATAGATCATCTGTTGAGAAACTGCATATCTCAGAGTCTTTTGAAAATATATAGAGTATAAGTTACTCCGTCATAGATAGAAGTCACTAGGTTTCAAAAGGAAGAGGCCTTCAAAGAAGGCGGTACAAGGCATTTACCTGTCACTTCAGTGAGTCTAACTGAGTGTGTATTTTCTTTTCAGATGGTATGGGAGAATGGCTGCGTGGTTATTGTTATGCTGACACCTCTTGTCGAGAGCGGGGTGAAGCAGTGCTACCACTACTGGCCCGATGAGGGATCCAACCTGTATCACATCTACGAGGTAAAATGACTCAGCGTGAGCAGAACTGACTGTTTGGGGGTTCAGCTGCAACTTTATGTCATTGGCCTTTGACTTTATGAAAAACGTTTTTAAGATAAAAACATTTGGCATTTCAGGGGATCTGATTGGCTTGCAATAGTTGGATTAATCTGATGCCCCATATTGCATATATGATTGGTCAATCCTAGTAACATTTTATCATCTATCATTTTATAATTATATTATTATCACTACGATCCAGTAAGTTTCTAAAGACCAAAGTCCAAAAATATAAGATTATTTCCAGTTCCACTTTATTTGAATAGTCTGTATACAGATAGTTTATGTAACATTTCAGCAGCTTATTAGTTGAGATTCAACATTTCAACTGGTTTGTAAATAAAGGTTTGGTTAGATTAAGACACAAAAAACATCTTGGTTCGAGTATGTCCATGAATTGTTACATATACTCTATAGATAATCTGGTAAACATTTACAGACTCTATAAACTGTAGGTGGATTATCCAAATAAAGTTTCACCAAAAGATTATCATCGCTTAATGAAGCATCTAGCAATGTTGTGTGTCTAAAAATCTGTTTTTTATTGTTACACTTGCGACACAGGTGAACCTGGTGTCCGAACACATCTGGTGCGACGATTTCCTGGTTCGTAGCTTCTACCTGAAGAACATGCAGACCAACGAGACACGAACGGTCACTCAGTTCCACTTCTTGACTTGGCTCAACCAGAACGTCCCAGAGACCAGCCGGACGCTCCTCGACTTCCGCAGGTAGGGAACTACTTTGAAAAGACCTGTAAAACATTTTTAATCTAAACTAAGATTTCTTGTTTTTCACGCAGTAAAAGCTGTTTAAGAGGGGAGTTTTTTACCCTTTTTTTGTCCAACGAGTGCTGTTTTCCTTGACACTGCTAACTCTGCTGTTGGTAAAGCTACACCAAGAAATCGACCTTTAGGAATTACTAGTGCGACAATAAAACTGTGATCCCTCACCAGCTTCCCACTTCACATATTACCAATGCACAAACAGAGAAGTGGTACTGCCACCAGCTGATTAACTGACAGGGTAGATACTCATTCACCCACATAACGTATTTTTCTGTACCAGCCAGGTAATAAAGACTTCTTAGCAACTTACTTCAAGAGCTTTTTGGAACTCCTTTTTATTTGAAGTACATAAAGTACATAAAGCCTGCTTCTAATGTTGATAGTGAAAGCACTGGGGTTTTAGAAGGCCTTAAAGGAACTTTTGAAAGTCTTTTTGAAAGAGGCCTTTGGAGAAAAAAATACACTTTGATAACAGGATTCATTTCCAAAGAGAAACTTAAGAAGAGCACTTTGTATGATGATTTCCAAAACAATAGTCACCGCACTGTTTCTCCAAAGAGCTGGTTACCACACATTGTCTTTGCTTAGGTTGAACAAAAACAGCCTTTATTTAAGACATGTAGATAGACAGAAGAAAGACCCTAGAACTGTGTGATAGTAGTTGAAAGTATACTTTCCTATGCAAAAAAATGTTTTGCACGTACGTTTTTTATATCCTACAAGCAACCTTCACTACCTTACACAAACTAGAATTCGTCTTCTTTTCCTTCTTCTTGAAGAACCCAACAGCTATTCTTGTGGGTTTTTGCAGCCTTCGCACTTGTCCTGTGGTTCCTTGAGTTTCTTCTGTATTTTCACTCCTCATCTAGCAAGAAGTCATACAAGTTCTCTGAAGGTTGTTCTGGAAAAAGTAGGAAATCACAAATTGAAATCGAGGAACAAAAGGCAGGAAAGTGGGCACCAGAAGTGTAAATTCCAACCCTAAAAAACAGAAGCAGAAATGCACCACAGTCATCTAAATAAGGGTGGAATTTTCTACGAGGGATGGTTTCTTTTGGACATTTTTGTTGTTTGCTCAAAAGAAAGTGAAGCTCCTGGAGTTGTTTGTCCCCACCCCGCCCAATCCTCTAAAAAACAGAAGCTTTGAATGGCTTTTGTGCCTCACAGTGTAATAACTTCAAACCTCTCACTTCTCCAGGAGTTTAGACTCGTGACCCTGAGATGCGGGCAGAGAAATATCTATATATCCTCAAACATCCTGGGCATTTTCTAGTCGATAACAGTGTAATTCAGGATGCATTGAGTGAACTCTGCCGGAGTGATCCTTTATCTCCGGCGCCTTTATAGCCGCTCCCCTCCTTCCCCTCCTTTGACCTCTTTTAAACTGATATACTGTATTGCCTATTAGGTGGGAGCCGCCCCGGTCCCTTTTCTCTGATTCACTGTGGATTTTCTCGAGCGATAGACCCCAACTTGGTTTTTATATATAGGCCCTGTGTCGCCGTGCTGCTGGCGCACATCAATTAGGTGAGATATCAAGAGTGAGGGTTTGTGGTCGCAGCTATTATAAAAAGGTCTGGTGGGCGTCACCACCCACCATCAGTTAGGAAATATTGCCTTTACTCACAGGGTGGCGGGGTCAGAACACAATGAAGAAAGCGCAGAGGGAGATATTTTTCACTTTTATTGCGGGGGATATGGTACTTTCACAATAACAACCTGCCCTTTTTTTTTTGGTGTTTCCATTTTTTTTACACCTCGATGGTTTGATGATGTCGGCTGACCTCTCCTTCTTTTATGCTCGTGCCGGCATGTTTTTTTGGTGTTTTTTTTAACCTTACTCACAACTGACTGACTGAGCCGAAGCATTGCTTACAAATCCTCTCTGCCCTTTTCCCCCTGTTTTACCAGCTAACTAGCGGTTGCCAGTGTCATTTTTGTGATGTTGCAGCTAGTAATATAAGCCCAGTTGCATAGTCACAAAAGTGATCATTGGAGACTGTGACTCTGCAACCAAGGGGCCTCATGGACCCCCCCTCCCTCCCTACTCTTATACCCCCTTTTGTCCTCCCCTTCTTTCCCCCCCTCCTTCTTCTCTCACCTCTTTCTCTCTCCTCGCTGTGCCCGGTGACCTGAGATGATCTCTCGCCTTTTTGCTTGCTCATGGTTTGCTTGACTGCCTCCGATCTCCACCCACCTCGCCACGCCTCCCTTCCTCTCTCGTCGCTTTTGTCTTTCTCTCTCCCACCCTCTATCTGTCTCTGCGTCTCTGTTACGTCCTTCTATCTGTCTCTCTTGATGATGTCTGACTTCTGCTCTGAGACTACATCCACACTAAGAAAACCTCTGTTTTGACCTTCTGTCCACACTAAACCGGTATTTTTGTCACATGAAAAAATTATTAGAAAATGGTTTCCACGGCTGGAGGTATTGCGTCAGTAAGGTTAAGAAAGCAGCTGTCTGTCACCTCTAACCTTCTCATTTTAAATGTCAGTATAGCCGATCATATGATACAGATGTTATAGCCACTTAACTGTTGGTAAGTTAAACAGATCAGAACTTAATATACAGGTGTATAATTGAGATCAGGTCCCCGTTTCACAAAGCCAGATCGTAAATAGTGGCATTGGCGTGTGTCATAAATGACTGTCACTCAGCACATTGCAGATACATTTTCCAGTCCTAAAGGCTGCTCACCTGTTAATGAATGGTCCGCAATTACATTTTGACTGGTGACACACAGAGAAATTGATCTCATGTTGCAGATTTCAGTTTGCGTGCAGCAAATTCAGCGAAAGGTTTTTGCTTTTCAGTCTGGATTGAGATCTTTATACGAGAGAACTATGACAACTATGACAATGTTAGTTTGAAGCTACGTTGTTCTCAGCAGTAAACAGCCTTTTCAATATGAGCTGGCTTAGTGTGGATATAGTCTCTCGCCTCTCACTTTGTCTCTCCCTGTCTGACTCTTGATCTGTCTCTCTCTCTCGCGCACGTGCGCTCTCGCTCTCTCCGTCAAGCTTGAATCTCTCTTACGGGGCGTTCCCTTTGAATCCCACACCCCTCTATACACCCGCCCCAACCCCCCAACCCCCGCCTGTTGGTGATTCTCTGCCGGCTGTTTCCATGGTAACATCACTTTTAATTGTCTGCAGTGAGCTCTGACTTTTCAATTTTGGTGGGGTGGAGGATGAAAATGAGTGTTTTTTTTTATTTTTTTAGATAGAATGACTTCCCTTCTTCAGTTTTTGTGATGTTCCTGCTTGTCTGTTCATCTCTTGGCCTGAGGAAACTAAAAAACAACCCACGGCCAAAAATGCATTTCCCTGAAAACACAAGATTCTATTTGAATAGCAGTTTTGTCCTGTGTTAGGGCCCCTGACAGTTATGTTTGTGCAGTCTACATATCAGTAGGATGAAAAGAATATACTGTGATTTATTGAATACATGTGGATTATCATTATCATTTAGTGCGAAACTGCCACAGCTTCATGATACTGAAATGATATAAAAGGTTTTACATTTTTTTGTCATCTTCATATTGGATTTTATACTTCAAGTAGGCAATAGGTCATTAGAAAAGAGTAAAAAAAGTGTCTCTCATTGTTAATAAATCCATGAAAACATCATGGAAACACTATAAGCAACCGTTCAACCACATGTCATGGTCTTCTTCAGTGGTTGTCATTACGTGACCTAAGATTACCTAATTTTTTCATGGTGCTAAGTCTAACTTTCCACCAAATCTCACTAGAATCTAGTAGGTTTTTGAGATATTATGCAGAAACAGATAGGTTGAAAACCACCTCAGCAGGGATAAAAAAAAATTAGTTGGAGTTTCAATAAAATAATGTCTTGGTTTGGAAAAGTATCAAAACATTTAAGAGGGAAAATGTGCCGGTTACAATGAGGACTTTAGGAGGTTTCAAGCACCCGTAGGTCATGAAATTTACTCTAAACATAAATGACCATGGAAACTTCCAGTTCAAGGAAAGAAAATGTAAAGCATCAACACGGCAGGTCTGAGGAGTGATGCATTATGGATTACACACACCACAGCGGCACACACGCTGTGCCTTTACATAACATGTTCCTGCTGAATATTGTTATTTAGAGTTATCACCATGAAATAGAATCCGAGATGATCTCCAGCTGGGATCAAACTCATGGCTGTCTGCTTCTTGCTCAGATTGAAGCTGGATGTTTGTGATTCACTGGTTGCTGTGCATTTTGATGAACAAGAATTCTCACTACTGTTTTTAAAAAAACATCTGCCGTCTTCATCAATAGCCTACTTTGCAGTTCGCAATATTCTTAAGCTTGTATGAAAGCAGCAACAAGACTGAATATATCTCATCTGTTGTGGAATATTAGGATACAGCAGAGAGATGGTTTTCCTTCTTGTGTTGTTTCAGCTGGGCAACTTTAAGATCTGTCAAAATAAGATTTTTTAAAATCCATGAGCACTAGTAAGAAAACCTTTTTTTTTCTTCATTTCATGATACTCTTTGGAAACAAATTGTTCCCATCAAAGCAGTAAAAGTAGAGTTCTTAAAGATTGCAGTTGTGGCAATTTAGTTATTATTTAACAGTTGTGGGCTGCTGCTTTACAGCTCAAAACAGGATGGATGGGTTCATCTTCTACAGAAAATGAAGCTAAATCTTTCAGAGTTTCAGGCGCCTGTAGGCGTTTCAATCATTTAACTTGACCAACATTTGACCAAAAAGCCAACATGAGCAGGGTTTAAGCATCGGCACTAACAATATCACTGGTATGGTTGTCTGAAATGTTTGTTAATCCCATCTATTATATTGTATTCTAATGCATATAATACATTTTAATTTGCAAAAACGGACACACTGGGACAAACAGACACAATGGTTTTCACACAAAGGGAGAAAGACCTTATTGTATAATGTTCGCCGAATTTATAAGGAGGTCCAAATAATAAAGAATTTGTTGTTGGGAGCATTGTTTATAAAGTTTCTCATCACTCAACGACTCTCAAAATTGTGTGATTTTATTAATGGAGTCTGGGGATGTTGCAGTTTCTAGTTCATCAGATTAAACAGTGTGTTCAAAAAGATCTGCTGCTTATCTTGGCAGGTAAGAGAGTCCAAATATGACCCAAACAGCCTGTTTCTGTGTACTTACGGGACATAAGTTGAGTATGCGCTCCTTCACTGTGGCCCAACACGAATTATCGTTTACTCTTCAAAAGATATGTAGTCAAATACTTCCCAGACCACCTCGGCAGGTGGTTTGAGTGATCTGATCAGATTACGTCTTGGTGGTGGTTTACACTTGTATTTAGAGTCGTCCATTGTGATCCGATGTTAATACCAGGTGTAAACAGGCTCATTGTCTGCTGTGTTTAATGTGTTTGTTGTTCAAATCTAGACATTGCTGTAAATAACTTTTAAAAATTTCCCAGGATACCCATCATCTCGTTGAGTCTACTTAAAAAAACATTTGTAGCTCCACGGGTTGTTTTACTCTTCCCAAAATGCCAAATAATGGGGTCCGCCACTCCTAGATACTTTACATAGTTTCAAGTTAGGTTGTAAGTTACAAGAAATCATATTAAATGTATTCTTCTATACTTTTATTTTTACATGTTTTGATGACCTGGTCCCTGATTGGAGCTGCAGCTGTGATTTTGTGGTCTCAGACTCTGAATCTTTGAATTATTGATCAATTGATCAAATGTTCTGGTGGGCATTGAACAATGCTAAACCTAAAACAGTCAAGAGTAGTTTTACAGAGCAATGTATGGTCCTAATCATGATTCATGGTCTATGGTTCATTGTCTTTAATTCCAAACACATCGTGTCAGAAATGATTAATTGTTGTACTTAAAAACAGCTTTAACTTTTTATTAAAATGATATATGTCTGGTAAGTGCTATGGACCAAACTGTGAACTCTCCTTGATACTCATGTTCAGTATCATATGTTACCACAAAAACTCGTAAAGATCAAAAGCTTAGAAGATATTTTTGTGATGTTCTCAAAGCTGTGCAACAGTAACCAACTTAATGAGAATTCAGGCAGTGCTATGGAACATTTCTGTCTATTTATTCCTATTAGACATTAGCATTAATAGTGCCGTTCATGCTGTTCTTCGTGGTTATTATTTTTGAGATCTGAGATACATGATGTACTGACTGTGTCTGTTGCTGTACCTGTGATGTTAACACTGAGCTTGTTTTTCTGTTCTGTTTTTTACAGGAAAGTTAACAAGTGCTACCGGGGACGCTCGTGTCCTATCATAGTTCACTGCAGGCAAGTATTATATACCTTAAGCCTTTTCTTTTTCATTTATTTAAAGGGTTCTCGCTTACATTAAGGGTTATAAAATGTGGTTTGTTCTGACTGAGCCTTTATTTTTAACGTTCCTAATAAGCAGACAAACAGACTTTTACTGATGAATTGCTGGCTCAGATGATTTGGAGCTGAGCTTGGCCAGATCCTTTGTGGTTTCTGTTATCCAGTCCATGCTACCATTGCATGTCTAACAATACTCTTGTGGCACTTGAGCCGGCATGGTGGAGGGCGACAAACATTCAAAATGAGAAATTAGCCAAAAAGTTTATGATTTAATTTGACAAACTGTCCACGGAGGAGGGTAACTTTTAATTGGAGGCGCTTCAAAGTTTGCAGTGTGTCGGTCGGAGCCAGTGGGTGAGAGGGAGAGAGGGGTGAATAGAAGTGGGCAGGGTTGCAGCTGTTGTGTTTGTGTGTGATATCACATCTGCATACCCCCACCACTTGAGGAAATAACTCAGACCAGTGAGACATAATTAAATCTGTATTTAACAGAAAAATCTGCCACAGTTTTTTTTTTCTATGAAAACAGCCCAATTGGATTAGAGGAAAAAAAAACTTCCATAACAGATAGCCATTATATCTGTCTGCTCGCTGCTCCAGTAAGTGATCTATTATTTAATATGGTGTAATGGCGCTTCCAGGATGATGAAACTGTACATTTCTCGGCTAAATTGCCAGACTGCACCAGAGTATGAAACCTGATTTTATGGAGCCACAGCTGGATCATCCTGAAGTTCCTCAGTTACCTTTACGACTTTATAAGTAAATGAAAATGCTTCGAAACAGAGTAAAAGCTCCAGTTGATGGTTTGTTACCTGGTTTAGAATTTGAATTTAATAGGACCATCACACATACACCTAATGTATGTAAAGGTGTTGAATTAAGTGTGATCAGTCATAACTTCTAGGACAGAATCTGTGTCAAACAGCTCTTATTGTTGTGATGTATTCAGTTTCTCATGAGGCAAACGCTTTAATGCAGTCTGTATTTATTCACTACAAACAGCCAGCTAATGTACACACCAACAGCGGAGATATAAGAACTCACCAGAAACTTCCCACTTTTCCACCAGAACCTCTCATTTTTCTCTTGTCACCTATCATCAAATTGAGTCATACGGCTTCAGGAGTAGCAGGAATTCTTCACTAGGGATGGGATATACGATATTGTCGTGTATAGCAATAAAAAAAACACTATAATTTCCAATATCATGGAAAACGTGAATATCCACAAATGGTTTGACTTGAAAAAGCTGTCCAGCTTTACAGCATACAGTCCTATATTGATTTCCTAATTCATTTTGCACAAGGGGACATGGTTGAGCCTGCATCTTTCCAGTCATCCTCAGCCTGTCACTATGGCTGGAGGCTCGGCGTGCCCGGTGTACAGCTGGATGTGTGGAAATAGTTTTGATTCCAAAATAAAGAACAGGGAGATGAGGTGCCTATCAGTGATGCTATAAATATATGTTTCTTAACAAAATGTAAGGTAAAGTGATTTTAATGCCATTTTAAAAGAAGTATATTTTAATGATTTTTGATAATAATATAAATTATTTTGGCCAATATAATGCCCTAAAATGTGCTGTACTATTTTGTTTAATGAGGAGTCCAAGTTCCTGTTGTGTTCAGCTGCTTAATAAGATCTTTACAGCTGTTTGTCGTCAGGCCTTGCGGCTTTTCGTACCGCAGGCGTTAATGTCTGTCACCAGAACGATATTCTCACTCGTATTCCTCAGATTGGGACCAAACCCAACCGGCCAATCACGTCTGAGGATGGAGGAATGAAAGGATTGAGAAACTCATCCTGCAGACTTTTACTTAGAGCTTTCAAATGAGTGTGTCAAACCCGACTGTGCACAGCCATTCATCACCCTAATGTATACAGAGAGCAGAGTGAAGCAATCAGGATGAGAAGTGAGCGAACAGAAGAGTGCAGATGCAGAAATTCAATAATCACACAGCATTCAGAGAACTTCTCTGTCTCTTCTCATTTTTTTCTCTATGGCTTTCTGCCTCTCTTTACCATTTTCTATCTTCCATATCTCTTTCTATCTCGTCATCTTTTCCTTCCCCTCACTCTCTCTCTCTCTCCATTCCCGCTCTATCGCTGTCTCTCATTTTAAATAGAGTGAGAGAAGGCAGCAGACATCTTGACGTGTTTACTCACAGCCCTCAGGCTTCTGCTGACACACACACACACACACATCACATATCACATATCTTTGATCGCCTTGTAATGATCCTGGCAAGGTGCAGCGATACGACAGATCTAATCTCGCCGTAATAACCTGTACGAGATGCACACACACACACACACACACACACACGGACATACACCAAACTGCTTCTAAGATCAGAGTGATAGTAGTATCTGTGTAGAAGGCACACACACACACACACAACACACACACACACACACTGATCACTGCGGTTGGTACTGCTCAATTATTGCACTGGGTGTGTTTGGAATATACAGCTGTGTGTGTGTTTGTTGGGGGGGAATAACCAAGGCCCTAGTGAAAATGAAATATTCAGAAAGTATATGGACGCATTGCCAGCACGCGCACACACATACACAAACACACACACACCACACACACACACACACACACTTGAGTTTGCTGGATTACACACCAGCCCATGAAATAGACTGGTAGGGGTGCAGACATCAATTTTCAACACTTGAAATAAATCTAGGATACAAAATATTCCCTCCACATACATTACAGAGTCTGATTCTTTTTGTGTGCACCGTGTTCACTTTGTGTTGTCGCTTTTTGATATATATATGTTCTTTTAGAATAGGAGAACATGCATTTACGTCTCTGTCAAACAAACACTGATGCTTTTATTTATTCCTGACCAAAATAAAACCTGCTTCAGCCTTTCTGTTCCATAATTATACGCCTTTGAAGTTGTTTATCCCCTTGAAATAGCATTAAAGGACTCATAAACCCTGACATATTAAATCTCTTTGACTGCTGCTCACCTGGTTAACTAGAGTCAGGTTACATCTGTGAAAAAAACAACAACAATAACGTGAATATGGTGGACACAAAATAAGCTGTATTGTTACAGTAAATCGGTGGATGTGCGTTATTCAGATTATATAACTTTACTGTGCAATCTCGCAGCAGCGGTGGGATTGCTGACTTGCCAGCAATGCTGCCAAGTTCCTCTAAATGCCTGTTAACATTTCAAATTCAATCATTTTCACTTGTTCACAGTCTGATTTGAATTTGCATCAGCAGGCACAGAGAGAACGTTTATTCGTCCTTGTCTGGATAAAAATACAGTGCTGTCAGACTAAACTTGTAAAAGTCAATATGATGGAAGATCATGGCAAGAAAACAAAGACTGTAACTGTAGGTTTGGCTTGCTGACGCTGTCAGAATATGCACAACAACAGCGGCTGAGCAGGTTCACTGTCTTTACTCGGACGCATCAAACTGAAGCAGCATGTGAAGCTCTCAGGCATCAAAGAGTCTTTCCATGTGAAGCTGGAAAGAAAAACTTTGAGGATCGTGCAGTTTTATGACAATAAAACTTAATAGGTCACATTTTTACCTAATTTAATGCATAATGGAGCTAATACAGGTGTTATAGAAATGATGAAAACAACAGCTGGTTCATTAGTTGCACCAATAAAATAAAACATTTTTTTTTGTTTTATCTTGACCCCCTCACCTTGAAAATTAACTTCAAAAGTAATATTTTACATAATAGAAAACTGCAGAGAGGCACCCTCTGCAAATGTATAGTATATGTATCCCAGGCCGTCAAATACCGTCGTTTTGTCACAAGTCTCTATACAGGTGCACAAAGTAGCCTTTAGCCTCAGGTTGAGATGGAGTGGGCTGTCAAATAACTCCAAAGGCATTAAAGGTCCAGTGTGTAACTTTGAGGATGATCTCATGGCAGATATGGAACATAATATTCATAGGTATTATGTTTTATTAGTGTATAATCACCTGAAAATAAGATTTATTGTTTTTGTTGCCTTGGAATGAGATGTTTCTCTTTGAGAAACTTTGACCCAGGAGACCGGGGTTCATGTTTGTTGCTGAACCAAAACTGTGTTTCACAACCTTAAGCACATATTACAAAGACGTCTCATACAGGCGCTAAAGAGTACCTGGTGCTTTTGTATGAGACACTGAGGGGCGTGATAAAACGGTGTCAGTATTTGACGACAGGGGCTGAGAATGTGTTGGCAATTAGCAAGTAAAAATTGTATGCAATAAAAACTTGATAAGTGTACACAGAGTGTGTGGTGTATGCAGAGGTTTTCATGCCACATACACATGTTTTTATAATAACAATGCTACAAATATTCTTTATTATCACAAAAGAAAGATATGTGCAATTCAGAAAAGCTGTGTTGTGTAAAATGATAATGAAACATATTAACTGATGAAAGTAATAATCTGTAATAATTAATACTTTTCTTTCTCTCTCTCTCTCTCCTCCCACCCCTATTCTGTGTCTTGGTCTCGCCCACCTGTGCAGTGACGGTTCAGGAAGAAGTGGGACCTACATCCTTGTTGACATGGTCCTCAACAAGATGGCTAAAGGTGGGTGTTACCATGGCAACACCCCCCCTGCTGTACTCTGCTGTTAAAATATTATCACTCTTATCAAAGTTATTTTTATAAAATTGCATAATGATCATTAAAAATAATGAGATAATTACAATGATGAGTAGTTCAAAATAATAATATTTTCCATTAACTGTTGCCCCTGAGCCAGAGAAAACACTCATATTTAGTAGTTATTGCTTAATACAGCAAATTAATAACTGTTTAATTTTCTCAGCTGCTTTGGCATCACACTGCCATGCCAATAAAATACATTTAAACTCTATAAGAAGATGCTACTTCCACGGTATGATGAGAAAAAGAGAGCTAAAGGAAGGAAAAGAGGTGGAATAATTGGTGGATAGGAGTTTTGTTAAGGAGTAAGTTCCCACTTTTAAACAACCTACAAACTCAGTTGACCGTGAACATTTTATCTAAAGTGTCATCAGGACTCGCATTGTAAGCACATTGTGAGTGCATGATAATTACTATAATTACAAAATGATATAATAAACACAGTGTAGTAATTATGTAGGGAACTGAATATTTCATGGGGCAGTGGCAATTCACGACATAATGTCAAATTAAGTGTCAGTTCCTAAAGTTCATTTAGGGCTTACAAACCGCCCCATAGCGCTATACTTTATGGCTATATTACATATATTAGCTATTATATTAGCTAGCCATTGATGGTCTCCAAATTAAAAGTCCTGCGTAGAGTGTGGTAGAAGACTTTATTTAAGTTGTTTGAAAGAATGTGCGACTTCTCATAAATAAAGTGTAATTACTATGTAGGACAAGTTGTGAACTTACTTCCTCTAACACACTGTTGAAAAGGACCACAAGCTTCATAACATCACATATAATGTTAAGGTGGTAAAATAAGATTATATAAGGATTTTACCATTAGTTGGTTTTCCAGTTAATTCTAAATCCATATGAAGTGAAGATAGAAGCCACAGCAGTTTACACAGATTGTACGTGTGTGTGTGTGTGTGTGTGTGAGGTGTGTGTGTAGGTGTGTGTGTGTGTGTGTGAAGTGTCCCATAGCGGTGCTGCTGCTGTAGCAGAACGAGCTCCTGGGTCTTTAATTCCAGATCAAAGGTTCAGTCAGGCAACAGGGGCCTTTCCCCAGGCTGTCACACCGTGATCGGGGGGCCCCGGCGCCCCTCCTCAGCACCCAAGGTCCAGGGAGGAAAGGGCGGGGCTGGGTGGGAGTATAGTATCCCAAATTTACTCTGAAAGAAAAAGTTCTCAACATAGATTGTTCCTTCCAGTGAAGCAAAAAAATAAAAGATTATTAACAGAAAATGTTGTTTTCTGACAACAGAAATAAAAAATATCTCACTAACAACTTCTTTTTGCTATTCTGAAACATATATTGACATTTTATGATGTTTATTTTAATTTTAATTTCATTTTATTGCAAGCCAACTCCACTACTTAGCAGCCCCTAAAGGCAGGATGATATAACTTCACCTCCTAGGTATCATTAGGGTGTCGTCTGCGAATTATCGCTCGCTGCTGTTTTGATTTATTTTGAAAACTTAATTTCTTCTCTCTGTTTGTGATGAGTTCAAGCTGCTAAAACCAGAGTTTTATCTTTTGCTTCTCATTTATGTTTAGGAGCACTACTTTGAGAATAAGATAAAAAGAAAACCCTTTTTGGTGTACTCTGAGATACATAAAGAGAATATTTGATGAGCTTGGTCTTTGTCAATGAGACCAGGCTATTTGTTTGAGTAGGAAAACACCTGACGGGATCAGACCAAGATCAGGATGTGTGTGAGGTGTTTATTGTGAGGATCAAAGTGGATTTCACCAACTATAATGCAATGTGAAATCTCTGTGTTAGAAAACAGAGCTTTGTTTTGAGTTTTTACAGCCTTCTGTCTTTTAAAGGAGGTTTCATAAACCCTGAATCTGCTAAACCCCGCACAGGAACATGTAATCCCTCAAGTTAAAACGTGAAAATCCCCAAAAGTGGAGCTGCGAGAATTTCACTTGACAGTAATGACACAATGTTTGTCTGGTGTTTAGGAGTTTCAGTGTGCATTTCTCTTTAATTCCTCTGGTATCTCAGTAGTGTTGGGCTACTTACTCAAAAAATTCAATATATAATTAATTACTTATTGCTCTTCGCCAACAGTAATTTGTTAAACTAATAGTTATATAACTTTATTGCTACTCAACACAAAATTGGTACTTGTGTCCCTTCTACCCAAAATTGAGACATACGACGATTAAAAACGAACTAATGTGAATATTTCCAGCCGCTGAATGTTTCCATCTTCTAAACTAGTTTCCTCCACGATTACAAAAATGAATCCAATGAATTGGATTGTTTAGATCTGTAGAGGGTGACAACAAAAGTAATCATTCTACTGTACTTTGTACCTCAAATATGTACAAAGTACAGATCAGGTTATGTAAATATTGTACTTTTTACTAATCTGACAACTGTAGTTAAAGTACTTTATAGTAATTACATTTGTGATATTAAGATGTTTTGTCAAATCTATTAAATAGTAACATAGTAAAAAATAGCCCCATACCACTGAAATGCTGCTTTCATCAATAATAATAATAATAGTCCAATATAAAGGCAGAAAAACCAAAGATCTTTCACAAATTTGAAACAGTGTCGCCATCATATGTTTCGAAATGACCCACTTAAATCTTACATATCTGGTTATAATAACCATGTTTAAGGAGTCTTTATCAGAGAGTTGTTGTTTATGTCATCAAAATCAATATCAAGCATTACTTTAACTCACAAACCTTCAATATTGGTATTAGAAAAAATCAGTTGGCGTCTAAGAGCCCATCTATAATACTCTCTTCTCAGGTACATTATGCTGACAATACTTGAAATTGGGACAAAAAGCAAAAAAGCATTTATTTTTTTTTAATGGTCAAAATCTTGAAGCAGAGGCCAAAATATAAATTTTTAGTCTCTATATGGATAAAGCTCATAAACACTACACCACTCATAATGCAACTCAAAGCGTCTTTTGTTAGACGCTCCCTAAACGTCTTTCAAACTACACAACCCCAATTTTTTTACACAGGTTTTTTCTTAGATGTTGTCTCCAAACCCAAACTGAAACAAGCCTCACGACCTCATCAGGATTATTGTCTCATACAAAGATCCTCCACAGCCGCAGAGGACTTTAATAGGCTCAGTGGTACTTAAAATGATGAGTCAGCTAATACTTTTACTTAAATGTACTACAAGGTCTTTTTAACTAGTTATGAAACAGTCTCAGTTTAATATTGATTCCTTTATATGACCTACATACATTTCTATTTCTATGTTGTCATGATTTTGGGTTTGATTTGCTTGTTTCCTGTTTTATTTTGTAATTCTTGTCCTCTTGTGTCTTGTTTGAACTCACTTCCTGTCTTTGTCTGTTTTCCCTCCAGTTTTGATTATCTGCCCCGCCCTGATTATTTTCACCTGCTTCTCTCTGTCCTTCCTCTCACTTGCGTATTTAATCTGTGTTCCCTTCTTTCATTTGTCAGTTTCTTCCCGGTTGTTCAGCCTTAGTTGCCCCCCCCCCCCGTGTTCCCTTGTTAGATTTATTGCTTTTGCATTTCTTGTACCTTTTTATGGACTTATTAAATCATCAAAATCATCCTGCTTCCTGTACGGTCTTGCATTTGAGTCCAATCCTGATTTTCCAACGCCTACGCAACAAAAATCCAACATGGGAACAGGGAAAAAGCTAAAATAATCAGGGCGGGGCAGATAAACAAAACTGGAAAAACAGACAAAGACAGGAAGTGAATTTAAGAAGAAGGGAATTACAAAATAAAACAGGAAACAAGCAAACCAAACCCAAAATCATGATGTGTGTAGTTATTCTCAACGCCGTAATGCCTGCCACCGGGTCAAATACCCCCTCCAAATCAGACGAAAGGAGACGGTGGAAACAATAACACAAAATTAAAGTTTCCTGTCTGATTCTCCAAACTGGG